GCAGTCGAATTGGGAACGCTCCAAGCCGGCTATCTCAGGACTTCAGGGAGAATTGCTTCACTAACATTCTACGACATTAAAGATGAAATTAAAATCCTCAAGCAGCAGCATATACCACGCGTAAATGTTGGAAGACCTTCGTGGGCGATGTATGCGAGGAAATGAATCGAATGTGAGAAGTGCTGGGATCCGCAATGTAAACATGAAGACGGATCAAATAAAATAGAAATAAAAAAATTCTTTATTTTTCTTAGGAGAGTCCTTCCCCAGTATCATAAGCGGCGTTAATACGCTGTGCCTTTCGTCTCAGCCACTCCTGTAAAGTATATCTTAATAGTCTCATTTTCCAACATTGGGACTTTAATGAAGAACTCACTTTGCGTCATCAGTCCTTCAACACGCGATGATAGCCTTTAGATGTCTGCATCTCTTTATCAATACTTATAACAAACGCTTCAGTATTAGAGGCTTATTTGGCTCATGAAACAAGCATTTGTTGACGCTTTTCTTTGGTGATAAGTACGCATGTGTGGTTTATCGTATTCTCTCGAGATGGCTGAGTATAGTTCACCAAAATTTCTCGGAGTAGAAAGGGAGTTTTTCAATAGATTTATTCATTGCAACATAAAACCATCTTCCGTTCTCTTCGCATTCACTTCATAACAGACTAAGCTGAATCCACTTACAGGAGACAATCTGCGTAATCCCTTCTTCTTCGCCAGGCAGTATTAGATTAACTTTCACACAGCAAAACAATAATTTTTAAGTGACTTTCATTTACAGTCAGTGTGAATAATCACTACCTAGGATATGGGGTGATGCAGTCATCAACTATGTGCGACTCTAAGCGGCAATTCTTCCTCAGTAGAAGACAGGTAAAAAGCGGTGGGATTTTCGAGAAGCCGGTGATCGTGTAATTATTGCTCAGATTTTCATATTTCTGTATGTGTTACTGAAGTGTTTGGCGTAAGAAATTGCGCATCGATATACTCTTCCGGACTCTGAAGGAGGCGATACTGCCATTATGTCGGCTACTGTTGTGTTGTACAGGTGTTCTGTACGAAAGTGAAAGTGTGCTGCATGAGAACCTCGCGAATGCTGAAAAAGAGAACGAAACATGTACAATCCGATGCCGAGGTTAATAAAAAGTCGATCCTGAAAACAATCACGACCTATTTTCTTCATTTATAAGTTAACATGGGGTAAGTACCAGACATTATTCGCCTAAAGTTTCGCCTTTCGTAAACTATAGAGCGACGATGATTTGAGTCGATTGCTCGCAGCTGCTCGATCTTTAAAGCTGTGTCAGTGTCAATCCAATATAAGAGACATTCTTTAAATCCAGTTGTACTTTTGGACAAAAGGATTCCTTTGGGGAAAATCGATCTTTTGTTTAAATTCGCGGCAACAAAGTGATAATAAGCGGATTTGTTTCTTGAATAGCATTCAAGCCCGATGGAACGAACATTTCTGAGTGTTCCATTTATGTGTATCTGGGTCAGAAAATTAAGCTAAATAATTCGAGCTGAAAAAGAGGAAAACAAAGTCTTTATTGGCACACAACAGGTATAATAGCTACGGAAAGATCTATTTTTGCCTTACGTCTAAAACATTTCGCGGTGGGCGCGTGTGGCGCAGTGGTCGGAGGCACCCTGCAACACACATGTGGAATCGATCCCAGAGCCCATGGACTATCAAGCCTTCCATCCCTCCGGGGTCGGTAAATTGGTACCAGACTTGTCTGGGAAGGTAGCAGCACTGGCTCGATGCATTGGTAGACCACTGCGAGTCATTGTAAACGCCAGATATGAATTCAATCACCCCCAAACGTTGCTTGGTGAAGTCGAATGCATGGCGCATCCCTCGGAGATTGATCAAAGCCGAGGGCTTTACCTTTTTTTTTACTATGATACCGCCTTACAATGTATCGCACTCTTTAACAATAGAAGAATTATGTAAGGAGAATTATGAATATTTTCGAATATTTCAAGGGTATGAGAGATCTAGGGTCAGAGAATTCTGTCGGAAACACCAGGTCACTTATTTTAGCCTTAGTACTACTATGAAAGAAATACGTTCCTGGAATATTAAGCTAACATGACGGCTGTGTAAAAATAACTTTTGTTCGGCTAATGTTTCGACGTCTTCGTCTTCTTCATGGTCGTGTTGGTAAGAGTTGATGGTCCACAAGTGGTCGCAGAGGCGATGTGGTTAATCGCTGTCGCATCAAGTTGAATCCGTTGAAAGGAGTGCCTCTCGAATGGTTAACTTCACTCAGTGGTGCTTTTTTATACAGGGCTGGTATTGATTGATTGCCGTCTCCAATATGAGCTACTTTGGTGAGAAATGGATCCTGCAGCAGTCAGCATTATATCAACTATAAAAAAAGTGAAAGCGATTGTCGACAGTGTTGAAACAAATGGAAGCCTATTTACGCTCGTTAAACAACGTTTTAATCCGTCCTACTCTAGTATTTCAGACGGTTACTATCGTAACTACTGCACAGAAATACGGCCGTTTCACCGATACCCTACACTGACCGCAGAAGAATATGTCTAGCAGGGTGACATCATCCGGCGGAATCTATTCACTGCCGTTCGATTGAAATAATAAATGCATATGCATTGATGACAAAGCTGTTAAGCTCCTGTGCTTTTTGGTAACAACGTCATATTTTAGAGAAACACCGGTGAAGCAGGGTTGATTGAATCCGTACCGAATTTTACAACTACATTACTTTAAAAGTATTTATTATTTAAATTGTTCTAGTTCTAGATCTTATTTGTTCATGAAATAGTTGACATCTTGCGCTTCTTCGCACACCTAATCTTTTAAGCGTGCTGAAACGATTCTCTCGAACCAAGTTCGTCTCCTTTTGTTCGCAGACATTGCGCAAAGGTAGATTTGAATAGAAAAAAATATTATGTGAAATATAATTTTAATGATGCTTAAATATTTGCAAAACTCCGGACCGCTGACGGATGATTGCAGATGGCAAAAGATCAATAGAACTAGCTGAGAGACAGGCGAAACGAAGGACCCGCATGGTGTGGTTGTGTACGCGTTACTCCCCGGAAAGGACAATATCGCGTTCGTTCCCCACCGCAGATACCTGCGGTCCGGAGTTCTGCAAATATCTCAGCATCATTGAAGTTATATTTCGCAATGTATACCCTGTCGTTAAAAAGAGTAGGCAGTAAATAATAAGTTAAAATTATTATGTGAAATACAACCATAAAGAGATATGAGCAAAACCCGGAAACTAGGACGCGCTTCGAATTCGAGGTTAACCTTTATGGAGGCTCATGTGTGATAGCAAGGTTGGCGTAAAGAACTGGCTGAGAGGGAAGCAAGCATAGGCATCGGTAGTGCAGTGGAGAACACGTGAGCTCGTAGGAACGGTAGTTGCCGGTTGGAAGCACAACTTAGGTCTCTACTTCTACTTATAACCCAGCACCATTGCGGTTGTATTTCACATAATAACCTGCCGCTGGAAAAATAATAGGCACTAAATAAAAATTAAGAATTGTGATTATAATGCTTTTTTCTTCGTTCATAGCAGATTGAATAATTTATTACTCGCTAAATCCTGGCGAAACCTTGAAAGCGTGGACCCACTGCCGGTGATGCAAAAGTCTTTCTTACACAACAATCCTCTCGTCAACGAACTACCAAGCATTTGCTACAAGTGCTATCCGGAAAAATCCTCCGTGGCTGGAGGTGCTTTTCAGGAATTAGTCTCGTCGAGAACGTCAGAATTCTGTACTTCTGAGATAAATAAACTTTTCTAAAATGTGTAGATTTCAACCGTTCTTATGTTTAAAAATGTCTTTTTGAGCTAATCTTATATCTTTTGAAAATTGTTGTCTAAGGCTGGACACTGTTTTTGCATTGACTAGCAATAAAATGTAATCAAAGATTCTAGTTTTTAAAAAAACTGGACTTTATATCCTGCTCTCCACTTCATTGGTTCAGTTAAACCATAGTTTGAATCGGAAGCACAGATGCACACTGGTTTACAACGGCTCGTTTAGTATTTCATCTGGGACCTTATTTTTAACTAGATTCTGAGTGAGATGGATTTCGATCTGCATGCCCAGTACCTCTCCTTATACGACCGGCCTATCACACCTGCTATGCAGATCCCAGCACTTCTTGCATTCTATTCGTTTCCCCGCATCCATCATTCTACGAAGGTATTCCAACTTCTTCCATATGGGTTCGACTTCTATTTGAGGATTTTCTTTAGCCGTAATGTCATTGAGCTCTGGTCGAGTCGATTCTTCCTGGAGTCCTGTGATGGCCTCGCAGGAATAGTCCCACTTAGATGGTAGAGAGTAAACTAAATGTCGAATATGGCGCCTTCGTTGTCGTACGGAAATGTCTAATGCTTTATCCTTTTTGTAGTCATTCGATAACTTCTCCACCAAAAACACTCTGCAAGAGATGACCGGAGAAGATCCAATGATTTACAAGAAACTGCTTTTCTGACGATATTGTTTCAGACACAAGCAATGTTTCCAGATACGACGGTGTGGAAGGTGTTATTTTTCGAATACAGAGGCACAAGTTCTTTTTAATTCCACATTGATTCAAATACAATTTATAGCTGCTGGTAAAAAATAGACTTCACTGAGCGCCACACGATTCCCACAATCTCTGTCACATATTACTTGATATTTATCTATGCCTCTTTATTTGTTGTAAATCCATATATCCAATACTATGCATTGCTTATAACAGCACAATCTATAACGGGACCAGAACTAATGGTCTTCCTTGCAGATGTTTTCTCTAAAAGTGGTAGTACAAGTTTTGTTATTCAGTGTAAAGGAGTCTTACTGTAGTGCAAATAAGCAAACCTCCATATTTATTAGTTCCTGTAAGCGGACCAGAATTTCATGACCCGGAAAAGGAAACCGTACATCAGGACTGTAATCACATTTATAGACTCAATGTACTTTTAAAAACAGAGCTTAAGACCAGAATCTTTACAAATGTCAGATAAAGTCGTTCCTATCCCAACGATTAGCGGGGAAGAACCGAGGTTCTCCTCTTGGAACACCGCGGTCAGGACGTGAAGGGAAAATTTCGCGATTGTTTGGATCGAACGGATCTAATGGATCTAGAATTCATGAATATCAAAACGATTTACTTCAGAACATAAAGATTTTGAAAAAACTCACTTCTTCCTCCGAATGGTCCGCGTGGTCCACCAAAAGGAGCTCCTGCTGGCCCAAATGGATTCACTCCTGGAGGCTGAATAAGAGGGTTCATAGGGTTAGGAATAGGCTGGAGTGGATCCGGTGCAGGGAACAATGGACCGTTTGGGGATCTTGTACGACCTGGCATATTTGGATGTGGATCATATGGTCGAATGAGCGTACCCGACGGAAGAGGTGTAGCATACGGATGGTCCTAAATAGCTGAATGTTATGCGAAGGATGTATAGGAAAGCCGTCGAAGTTGCTTACCGATAGGGCATCGTTTTGACGTGCCAGCTTCCTCCTAACATACTCTTCGCGATATATGCTCCGAAAGGTCACGCCTTTCGTCTGCGCCTTTTGAACCATTTGCTGACTAAAGTCACTAAAACAAGGAAATTGCACACTATATGCACACCATGCGTACCAAAAGGGAGGGAAAGAAGCCAGAGATAATAGTGAATTCAAATAATGAAATCGCTATACCTGGATAGTCTCTTCATCCAGTATGTACGATCTACCGAAGATGACATCAGGATTGAACGAAGTATGTGGTTAACCTCAGACAGACGAGTGACAGTACGAGGATCCATGTGCTCCAACAGTTGTTCGCGAATACAACGTAGGGAGCAGAGGTGGATCAGTGTAACACCAGTAGCTCCTATAACCGCTATTGAAACGTAGCGAATTCGTACCTTGTGTCTCCATACCATGTTGGTTCTTTTGAGTCCCTTTTTTCTTTTTTCCTTTCCTACTTGCACTTCCTTTATTTCTAAAACCATAATTCCGTACCAGAATTAGAAAGGGCATGTGCAACACCATCAGTTACACAATCCTTCACAGTTGCCTGCTGCACAGTAAACGACGAGAGAAGTTTACGAGAGAAATCTGAATAGATAGAACCATCGACATCTACAACTTAAATCTACAAGAATTTAATAAGTGAGGCATACGTGTAAGAATTTTGCACATATCACCGAAAAGTAAGTCGGTATCACGCATAAATGAAATAGAGTAAGCATCTCTATGAGTCTTGAGAAATATTTATAATTTTGTTTCCGGTAAAACGTCGATATCAAGTGTAGTCGATAAATGCTCGACTATACTAACAAAACAGATAAGTTAGTTTACAACATAGGAGAATTGCTCCTATGTATTCCCTTGAAACACTCGACGACTATACTCAGTCCAAAGACGGATAGCCCGGAAAGTATCGGTTGATGAATTAGAAATCTTCATGGTTTCATTGAAGAAAATGGATATTGTAAGGTTTAAGGACAAAATGTCGTATCATCGTTATAATATAACGATTACAATAGCGAAGCTTCAACTCCACGTATCTTCAGCTGATAAACTAATTGATAGCCTTCATGCATTTGAAACAGCAAAAATGGAAGTAGCGAAGCTTGAGAACAAAACGTTATAATGCTAACTTTGCTACCTAATCAAATTTTCACGGCAGGTTATTATGTGAAATGCAACTGTAATGATGCTAAGGTAATTGCAAAACACCGGACCGCAGGTGTCAGCGGTGGGGAACGAACGTGCTACTACCTTTTCCGAGGATAACGTTACATATCGTTGAAATGCAGCAATCATAGTAGCGGAATTTTAGGTTCACGTAAGCCTACAATGTATTAAATTGCGAAACATTCACCGACTATCCGTCCTACATTCACGACAGCTGATACGAATGGAGTTGAAAACGCCGTGATGACAATAAATATAATGGAGGTTTCATTCCTACTACGAAATTCAAAATGCAGTTCAGCGCCTGATAAACTTTGTCCACACCATGATTGTAGAAACGAGTTCTAAACACGAATCGAATTGTTCGTTAATAGACGTGGTGAAATAAAACATGCAAAAACCGAGTATTGTGAGTTTTCCAAGTAATCTCTGGCCGCACGGATCACAAGATCACGGAACGCAATTGCTGGATTAGGATTCTCATCAGACTCCTTTGAAGTGCACTGTTGCCTGTTATCGTTACCCTCCTTTTCTAGAAGAACATCTTGTCTTGTGTCTGCAGCTGTATGTGTGGATGTTTGTGGACATCTTAATAGAAATCATTTATGCACGACTTTACAGTGAACTCAAAATATTTCTCAAGAATGTAGTTCGCGACCAATGCCACGATCCAAATGAACTAAAGCTTATCGTCGATATGTTAAAAAAAATCGATAAAACCAACGTTTCTATGAAAAGCCGATCCCCACTCACTATGCCGACATCTTTAATAAGCACCGGATCGGGAAATCTTAGCTCTTCTGCACCAAGCGAAATGCGAATAACTTCTCGGTTATTTCTTAAAACGGATAAATTGGCTGACCTCACTACACAATACGGAATGTCCGTCAAACTGAAGAAAATCAAAGCAAAACTTACAAATTCTCAAGCTTCGAGGAAATTCGCGAACGTAACTCGCCTAGGGTGTCTGTTGGAGAAATTTCTATTTGAAAAACGTTGCCATTCGACCTGTTCTTGACGTTAATTTTCATCTGAAACAAAGAACGGAGATACCATAGCTGCCAGTTTGAATCAGCAATGTGGGTGAAAAGAAAGAAGTGGATGAAGCCTAAATTGGTTTTCACATAATATAATTGAATCTTTATTGAGATTATCAAGCTATGAAGAAAAATAATGAGATGGTAATAACAGTAATGATAAAACAAGTACGACAACAACGATAAGATAATGCCAACAATGGCAAGAAAGTCCTATTTACTTTAATCCATGTATAAAGATTCCATCATCACTACCCATTTCCGTAGGCGTGACGTCACCTATTAACATTATCAGAATATTCTTATCTCCTACTTTATTATTATTCTATTATTATTAATATTCTCCTACAGCGTTTCACTAAACACTGCAACACTTGAATCTCCATCAGGTTTACCACTACCCTCTTTGCCACACTCGTCATTCCTGGCTGATTCAGAATGAATCTGAAGATGAAAGAATTGGATCGCAAAGTTTAAGCTTTTTTGCAGTAAATTCTAATAAGTAAAAAAAAAGTTCGTAAAACACATCAGTGAGCTTGTCTCACTGTCCTCTTTTCTTTTTCCTCATTTCCCGCAAAAAAATTCTAGAAGAAATGTAGACCGAAATATTTTGGTGGAAATTTATACAGGCTAGTGTGAACAGCGAAGTGACCCACCTTCATTGACTGTTTGCCCATATCAGTTCCAGTAATTTGACGTAGTGCTATCGTTGCATAACAGCCAGATGAAAGGCTGAATTCTACTTGAACTGCCATCAGATCGCCCACCATTTCCGAATCATCTATAGCTTGAGTAGATAGTCCATCCTTAAAGGAACTACGTAATGCCTCTCCTCAGTTCTGAATCTTGAACTGTGTATACAGAACTACTAACTTGAAGATATGCTCTCGGATTACTATATCGTATGAATTTCCACCTCACGTCTTTAGGAGATATTAACATTGCCCTTGTCGTTTCTCCCAGAGCGAACCGGCTAAATAATATTAGATACTAAAACAAATAATCAGTCGAGCACTAGGCCCATCATCTTACTCTTCCAGAGTGGAGAATGACGAGAAAGACAACCCATCTTCAGTCAATAGTTCTTCATACCACTTTGTTACTGAAAATATCGAAGAAAAACCTTTTACAAAGTGTAACGAAGAAAATAATACTACCAGCCTAAGGAAAGGATATAAAACTATCTAAAAAAGGAAATAATTGGAAAAGAAAAAATGCATAAAACAAACAAGGGCTTAACCATAATTCCTCTCAAATGTGACATTTTCGCCAGGAAGAGGGATGTAGATATCAAAGGGAGAAGCGTCCGAAGGTAATTTCTTTCCATCAGACCCCAAGTCATCTGTGCATACCACAGCCCCATTCTCTGATATACGACGCGATACAACCTAGGCCACAATCACATAAGTAAACGTACCACGATAATAGCAGAGACCAGAAAGCATGAGAGCTCACCTTGTTCCACAAAAGGCTTTGATAAGCATGGACGTACAAACTTCTCAAATTGATGGGCAAAGCCTCAGTAATACACTGAAACATTCGTATTTGCGGCGTTATTTATGAACCCATAACGGACGACAAGCATTGTATAGAGTTCAATATGATCGAGAATACTTACGCCTTTCAACTATAGACAATTATATTTGTTCATAGCAAAATTTACTACCTGAAGTGATGTGCGATATACGCCATTAGAATCTACAAATGGTTACTCACAGAATACGATGCCACCTTTATCACCGAGGTGATAATCAGATTTTTAGAGCGAACAAAATTTTTATTTGCTGATGTTCGTATTTTGAATACCCAGCAATGAAAAAGTCGGAATTTCGTAGGATGGTCTTCTTAAATGTTTTGATATTTGCGACTGCCGCGTACCGATTGACAATTTTAAAAATATAAATTTCCTTCCGATGTCTCTTAGATTTCGACATTAAAAGTTATCAAAAACCAGCAAATAAAAAAGACCGATAAGCTATCTACTATCATTCACAGAGAAAAACCTCCGACACCAAACGTCAATACCATAGGATTTGCCGCTCATCCACCTATTATCTATCATTTCGAGTCATGCAAGGATTTGGTCATACTTCCATACTCTCAGCGTTAAAAAACATGAGCACCAGACAGTACTTGCCAACTTGTCTAACTTACGGAGGCGAACAACCCGCTTTTCTCTATAACAATCCGAGGTGGTTCACGACGAAAAATCCTTATATGGAATCGTTTAGGACATTTAAATGTTAGAACACCAGAAACTTAGAGAAATTGCTGCAGAACTATAAAAATCGGAATAGAAGACCAAAATAATGATAGAAACTGTCTCACTGAGCTTCTAACGACAATTTGCAGATGAATTATTGTTGGAAATGAAATGTGCATAATAGTAAATCGTGCGCGGAGACCAGCCATATCCTCATACGAAAAAAGATTGTCCTTTATTAACACTAAACTTTCGCAGTGTTCAATACAGTGAATCCGATCGCTGTCACCGTCTCCTATGTGTAATGATTCGATTATTACTACTTATATTGCTTTCTTTACTTAAAATACTTTTATCCACGCCTAAGAAGAGAAAGATAAGAACAGAAGGGAAAGTTTGTTTCAAGAATAACCAGTACTAACTTCTCAAATTAAAAAATAAAAGGTTTCGGTCTTGATCAATCTCTGTTGGAGATACCATGCCTTCGACTTAACCAAGAATCGTTAGAGGTGAGTAAATTCGTATTTGGCTTATCCACTGACTTATAGTGGATTATCGATGGATTAAATCAATGCTAAAATCCGCCCAGACAAGTCTCGCACCAATTTTCCGATCTCGGAGGAATGGAAGGCTTGGTGAACAAAGGACTGGGCTTGGACCAATAATCACGTGTGTATTGCAGTGCACCTCTAACCACCGCAGTTTACGCCTCTTCTCACATTAGTGGACCGAAATAAAGGAGGACCCGACAAGCGAACTGTTTATAGAAGATTTACGAACGAAGGCTTCTAAACAAGGAGTTAAATCGCATGTCCACTAGCACTAATAAACTGCTAAAGAAAAAAGAACTCAACCTATATCCTACTTTAACACACTTAACATGACAAAGTTAGCTCCAGGTGATCGCTGCAACATGAAATATAAAGAAAAACAGTTAGATGCAGTTCAAAGAAGAACAAAGAAACAACCTAGGAACCAAAGCAAATAATACAATGCTTCACTATCAGATCTTATGATCGAAGATACTATCATTTACCACCTATGGTATTGACAGGGGGAACTCCTACAACAATTTCTTTCCGTCCCATGTGCTTGTTCCCAGATCCCAAACTCAATGCTAGAGGAAAACTGCCTTCTGTTCTCTTCTCGTTCCCAGGTTCCTTCGAACTGAAACCACAAACTAATACATCCCTTTCGTGCAGCCCATACACTTCACGACCAGGAGGAAAAGACTCCAGCTCCGTCAGTGGACGATTTCGAGCCGTCATCCTAGCTAAGTGTGACCGAAGGAATCATCGTAATTACCAAAGATCTACTTGACAAGGGTACTCTAGAAGCTATTCAGACTACCTTATCGCACACAACAGGAACATTAGATGCGGCACAACAAATGGAGTAAAGAGAATTACTACAGGGAACCTACTACATTGACCACAACTATATGTGTTTATGCTAAAAAAATTCTGTTGAAAATACACTACTTTGCCATGTTGATAAGAAAACAGAACTGAAATGGCTACATCACCCAGTCTAGGCCGTAAACCGTCGCATTCTTTTGAACTGCAAAGTAGCTTCATTGGGAAGAATTTGGTAACTACGGCACTGGTGGTAAAAATTCCCATAAACACTTGTTTTGCAGCGACATTGTTATCTTTTCGAAAAACAACAGTTAAGGATAATTGGCGCTGAACGCAGAACATAGTATAAAAAGGAAAGGAAGGAAATTCTGTTCGTGTAAAAACCACTCAACGGCGCCTGAGTGGAAATGAATGACTCTCCAATAAGAAAGAATACATCTTCCTAGTAATTGAGGTACTGAACGAACACGGAAACTCGCTTGAAGAAGAAGTCGTTTAAGGTAAAGAGGAGAGTATGGGATACGTTAGGAACCTCAGAGAGGCCACCGATCGAATAATATAGCCAAAACTTCACTCCCTCCTTTTTTAATCAACGTGTTTATCGCGCGCTCCAAAGAATGACAGTGACAAAATTTAACTGGTACACTAGATGCGAAACCATCTCGTCGTTAAGTTTCCGAAACATTTTTTGTTTTTGAGGCCCATACAAACACAGTTCGAACGTGAAACATCGACGAAATGATTAATAAGAAGGCTTGACGACTGATGGACAAGAAGAACAGCGGAATCAATTCCACAACGATGAAAGCATCCTCTAGAACGATGACCTACGAATGGACACACATGTTTTTTACTCGTGTCAACCAGCAATATTCGCAGCTCAAAACGATATTTGTAAAATGGAATGTTTCTGGCAGACATCATTGTACTCGAAGAAGACCATCAACGGGAAAATCGCGCAAGATGGAAACGAGTAGAAAATGTGCCCGGGCCACCACTACTCTTGAAGACAAGCCGTGCAGGTACCAAAGAATTCAAGTAAGAAGCCCAATGACATGAATGGTTACTGAATAATTAGAAGACAACCACAAACCATATATCTCATAGAACTGTGCTTATCCTGAAATATAAACACCACACTTTTGCGATGAGTAACACCTATAATACCTGTATGTGCCATAATGGTTTAGCGGGACTGGCCGGTAGTACACCTATTGGTCCTGCTTTCTTTTCAGTAGTTTATTGTAACATGTAAAACTATTTTCCTATACTTTTTATTACCAACTGACGGTTAGCAGAACACAGATGTTGTATTGGCTGTTGTTCGGAAAAAGCTCTACTCTGCACTTAGAAATATACAAAAAGGCTCTCCGTACCAGTCCACTGACCAGAAATTGATTTGCTAATCGATTATTATTTTAATTCTAATTTCTAAAGTGAATGACATTCATGCAGATATAAAATTCTGTATAGCAATAAGTATAAGCTGGGTATAAAAAATACTGGAATAGAGGCCCATAAGCTGCAAAACACTTCCAAATTCTAACAGCAGTGTATGGTGGACCACAGTAATATGGCATGGTAATAGCCCCATATATATCACTCATACCCTGAAATAATACAGCAGTCTTTTCTACAAAACATTCATATTTCTCAAACAAAACCTCTCACGAATTCCTTCAGTTATCGAAATATTGCTAATTTTGAAAAAATCAGCAACTCCATAAGGACTGAAAACTAGAAGACGTCCAGTTAGCAGCAAACCCGAGATTAGGGGTCGTGGTAAGAGTCTTAAATATTCATAGAAATACAACTTTGAGGTCAAACTGAAAGTCTGAGTTCGCAACAAATGCTTTAGAAATACGTTTCATATTAAAATATTCCGACTTCCGCATAATCGCATAATAACCGACTGGTCCAAGATTTCCTACACCACAATTTTCAACGACTTTGCGGTATCGGGACAGAAGGTTTTGATTTCCCCGTTTGTCAGCCCGATGCTGCTCAAAAACTGCCACCAATGAGTTTAAAATAGCATGGATTAATTGCCTAATGAGTGCGAAATGGTTACATATTCTTGTGTTTGCTGTTCCATGTCATCTGACAACTGTATAGATGTATAGACATTGATTTGCAAATTAACAAATGCTAGGGTCCGAAGAGTTCGACTTCTCTGAAGCACAAAACAAACGTAAAAGGTTATTTCGCAACTCTACTGCTCTTCAAAAGTAAATGTTCTCAACAAAATTACAATTATACTTCACTACCGAAATGATTCGCTGCCACAAATTACGAAGAATCGTGCGGACCCCAGTACAATTTCCACTCGTCCTCCCTGGAATCGAATGCCGTTTCAGGGATCTCTCAGCTCGTCACCACTGTCCAGCTTTCCAAATACCATCCAGTTACCAAAACAATTAGTTATTCCTGACACTGATTTAAACTTAGTTAGATTCTCAGAAAGATATGTTCCACTCGCTCTCAGTTTGGAAGAGTGATAACTGAACGAACGCTTGATGTACAGAGCAGTTCGACAAGCAGAAACATTACTCCACCTGTCATGGCAAGCCATTGCAAGAGAATGTTAATCAAACTAACAAATTCAAAGAAGAAAAACAAGATAAAAACATACCAACCTTTTGCCAGGTACCGCCTTTAGCGAGACATTTGAAAATTATTGCTTCTATTGACGCATACGCCTGACTACCTTTAAGTTTCTTTAGCGCCACAGAAGCATCGCCAGTTTCCTTCCAACATCGTGAAGCATCGCCAACTGAACCAAGGTAACCTAAAACCTAATATTCTTTGTAAAAGTGATTAATAGAGGAGACGAGATAAAAGTGTTACTAGCGTTATCCCATTTGATAATAAGAACAACAAGCAGAACAAGGATAAGGAAAAGGACAAGGAAAACTGAAATAAAAACGATTCAAGAAAAGAAAACAATGCTGATCACTCACTCACCATTCATCTGGTTGTTGCTAAGAATTAGCTCAATTGCACCCTCCCAGTCTCTTTGCAAAATCTTTTTACCAACGGCAGCAGTATTAGTACCGCATGTACCGAAACGTTGCGTACCTAAAACGAAATGGAACTGAAAAAAAGCTTCCCAAAAAAACACATCTACTGGTAAAATACCAAAATAATTTATGAATCCGTGCAGAACAAACTCTCGTAGGCGGTCTTCCAGAATGTTCCTTGATTCTAACGGAATACTTCTAAAGAATGACGTCATCAAAACGGTTACCTAAGAACCTATATTTAAACGATATAAGATTTTGAACGACCTCAGAATTATGTGGAAACGGTTTCCCCAATGGCCACCCATTTTGAGTTCGTCATGCTCATACTTGACATCGTATACAACAATGTCTCTCAGATGAGTATTGAGACTAAGTATACGCTCCTGAAATGCAGCGTTACGCTACTTTATAGTGAAATATCTTAACAGACAGATGGAGCAACCAATCCACAAAGTCAAATCGTTCTTGCACTGAAAGCAAATTATCCTCTGGAAGAACCTTTTCGACTCGATTGCAGCTAACACGCTGACAGGTAATGGCACGACGATCCTTGATACCGTGTGTGCGGAAGTTCTTCACCGACACCCTGCAATGTTAACGGTTTATGGACGACTTCAAGAATGAATAAATAAAAAGGATAAAGCTCTCGGCGTAGATCAATCCCTATGGGATGCACCAAGCATTCGACTTCATTAAGCATAGTTGGAGGTGATTTAATGCACATCTGGCCTTTACAATGACTCACAATGGCCTATCGATGTATCGAGCCAGTGCTGCTATCCCGCAAGAGAAGTCTGGTACCAATCACTGATCCCGGAGGGATGAAAGGCTTGGTGAGCCTGCGGCGCGGTGATCGATCTCATTTGTACGGCGACCATGACCACCGCACCACACGCAAGAATGAATAAAATCTTAAAATATAGCTAACTGGAGAAATTTTGCAATAACTCCAAGAGCATAGCTGGTGTCTTTATTCTCCTTCGCCAGCGTGAAATGACAATAATCGGGGCAGTGTTGGTCCCAACGCTTGCGCTTCCTAGATAAAGTGTTTGAATTCAAGAAAAAGGTCTTTAAAGGGACTTATTCAAATAAGAATGAGCAAACCTTGTTCTACTATTTACACCACAGTAACTGATCTCGATAGCATTATTCTTGGTTTCAGAAGACAATTTCCCTTGGTATCTAAGCCTGACGAATTCATGAAAAGCCTTTCGGTCGTCTTTGCTGAGTTTCTGAAACATAGAAAGACATGAACACGCATTCTTTAAAGTCTTGTCACTTTAGTAATTCAACACAAAACATTTTACTACTGTTTTGATTCAGGCAGTATAGACGTCCCCTCCCAACGGGTATAGACGTCCTTGATTAAGAAAACCGGAAAGGGAACACATATTTCTAATGCTGTAAACGGCTTTATGAAGTAGGTTTGAAAAAATTAGAAGCAAATGGAGGGAGACCTACTTCACAAGTAATTTTTAGTGGTGCTGAAGTCTTATTCAGCCCATCAAGTGCCGATATTTGATCAGCGGTGACAACGGAAGGTACTGAGACGGACTCGTTTACAGCTTTGTCTTCCTCATCCTTGACGTACTTCTGAACTTCGGAAGTCGTCACCAGTCGCAGCACGCTCTGATCAGCTGAAGACACTATGAATCCGATGAAATTCCGGAAACAAACAAGAAAGACAATAGAAAAAGAACGTATCGTTTACCTAACACTTCTCTCACAATGAAATCGGAATATAGTTCCTTCATAACACATGGAATAGTGGTTTTCCGATCTCCTAGATAACTCGATATGCCAAAGTCCACTTCCATCTCTGCGTATCACTAGAAATACCTTACTGCGAAAAAACTAATGTAACCAAAAAAGCCAAACTTTAGTAGACCGGGTATAAAATGGATAAACGAACAGTTTGCAAAAAACTTCGAGCTAGTGCATTTCTGCACACAATATAAGCCAATTTCTTAACGAAATGGGAAACAATGGAAGGAAAACGAAGTCACGGCTTATCATGAAAACTGGGACTTCACCTCTTGGACGATAATATTCAAGTTTCCACGCTCTAATCCTTATCTTTAACGCGCGCTTTTCAAAATCTAAATTTGTGAGATGAAAGTCTATTGTCGTCGTGCAGCACTTCGTAGTTGTTTTCTTAGGGATTCTTCTGCCACCCTTCTCTCAATTATTCAGAGTTGAAATGATCTATCTTCTACAAATTCTATCTTCTGTTACGACTTTATCATTTTTGTATCATACCATTACATTCAGCAACGATCCTTGTACTTTTAACTTGAGCAATGTACTACGAATGCTTGGTGCTCTCAGCGTAATCCGACTTTCATTGAGCAAGTCCTACAATTTACGAACTACTACTGAGTCCTACCGCGAGTAGAGCAGTGGTTAGAGATGCCCTGCGACATACGTAGCTCTTCGTTCAATCACGCGTCCAGAGCTCACTCAGCCTTCCATACCTCTGGAGCCAGCAAATTGGTAGCGGACTTGTCTGAAAGGATAAGAACTGCACGTCTGAAGTGGTGCCATACAAAAGTGACTAATTTCCTGGTGTACTTATGGAATCATAATTTTTTGAATTCCGGAAAAACTAGCAAAAAAGAAATTTTTGTCAGCAACTTGAAAAAACACGATTTTCTGGAAAGTCCGCAACCGGTGAGCATCAGATGATTTCATTAATGCTGCGAAATTTGACTATAAAACTATCTTATTCACCATATTCAACCCTCGCTAGTCAAGTACCAATTTTTTTAAGCATCTCCTCAAGTAGAGCCCCTAGAAAACATTAAAAACCAAGCTGCTGCTAGACCGGAACCACCCACCCTCTCCTTCCCCACAACGCTGTTTCCTTAATAAGAACACACGAATTTATTGCCTTATTCTTTATTGAGAAAAAACTGACCTTTCGGTGGTGTTAAAGGTCAAGTTGACTCCAGTCCAGTCAGCCAAACAGCTCCGTAACTAAAACTGAAGAATCACAAAATCGGGATTTCAATGACATTGAAAAGAAAACAGCTTCTTCGCACACTCACCGCTTCCACTGAGTATGCCACGACGAGACCGATCGTTCAAGGGTTCACATGGACAGATAGTGCTCGCCTCTCGCGTGAACATATCACTCTGAAATACTGGATGAGGTCATGTGTGATAACGAAACATCACTCCCTGCGGTTCGTCTTTGGATGCTTAGAATTTGGAATCTACAATGCTTCGAGAGTCTTGCGCGCTGAAGTTTTCGATCCCTGCGCGAGGATAGTGACTCCCATTTCGAAATCGCCGTTATGTCTACGTCCTATGCCAGCGTAGTGGAGTGTTTGGTCTATCTTTAAGTTTACCGATTAGGTATGTTTTATACGAAAGTCCAGTGGTCTACCCTTTCCACCTATGTATTCGTTTTCCAAACGTATCCCGACCAATGATCGTTTCGTAATATGTTCCTAGTTTGACCAAGCTTTTCTATTCACTAAAGTCCGTAAATTAATAGAACTCTTTTGTGGAAGTTAAGGGGTGGGCTGGTCCTTCAAACGAACGCAGAAAGGAGCGGTTCTTTTTATAGTATTGAAAAGATAAATATAGAATCTCATTATGGCTTATATTTTCATTCATTTCATCATCTTCAGAGCCAAGAAGGGTCATGCTGACGTAAAGCATATTTGATCAACTTTTTCCGTAACCTCACTATGAAATACTAAACCCAAATTTCGACCCAAGTGCATCACCTGTATCACCTGTAGTCCCGTTGATCGTCGAGTGACTCGAGCGGGCGCCAGTAAATCTTCCATTTTTCCCTATCGCGTTCAAGAGTAGCCTAGTTGGTCCTGCTCGCTCTAGGGACTCGTCGAGCTTCATATCTTTCTTCTAAGCTCTTCGTGAAGAACTCTTGACCTTCCTCGGTGGTCGGTGGTCTTCCTGCAGTGCGCTTGAAATCCCGAGAAATCCTATCACTAACGGCTCTTGTCCATCGGTTGTCGTTCATGCGCATTAGGTGTCCGGCCCACTTTATCTTGGACGGTTTAGCGTGAAAAACGGCTTCTTTGATTTTTGATCGTTGACGTAGATCGGAGCCTCGAAACCTTTCCCTTACTTGTGTGAAACGGGATACTCCCAGCATCGTCCCTTCGACTGCGCGTTCGATAACACTGAGTGACCTTTCATCCTGCTTACGTAACGACCAGATTTCTAAAACATACGTTAGTCTAGGGAGTGCCGTTGAGTTGAAAAGGTGGGCACGGAGTCAGGTGTTCTTTGTTCTCTTCACTACATCCTCGATGCTCTTGAAAGCTTCCCAAGCCGCTAGTTTTCTCCTGCTCAGCTCTGGAGTTAGGTCGTTCATCATATTAATTTCTCGACCTAGATGGACACAACTGGAGCATTCGTAGATATTCGTTCGATTGAGCGTGAATGGATCATTCGAAACCAATCCGTTCAACATGAACATCGTTTTTGTGAGATTTAGTTGAGGACCACTCTTTCCACAGGCTTCATCAAAATCGGCAAGCATACGTTCCGCTTGGTTAATGTTTGGTGTTATGCATAGTGTTCATAATAGGGCCTGTCCTAGATATGAAAATACGATTAAGGTGTGAAACTAGTACACATGTGATTGCAAACGTATATTCTTCCCTTCAGTGCCTTTCGAGGTCCTCGTGTGCTTATGATATTTTTAAGGTCCCTACATAAAATTTAATGGCCTTGGCTGCTATACTTTTGTAACTGATATGCAGTTAGTGGAGTGCTTTAGTCACGCGTTGATTTTTCCAACCAGATGTCGACATGGGACAGATGGCACATAGTAGTGATGTCGGTCATCACGAGCATGGTTCTAGTTCGATTCCACTTCGAGGCAACCGAGCCTGTCATCCCTCCGGTGTCTGGAAATTGGTACCGGATTTGTCCAGTAAAAAAAATCACTCGCTATAGTCCAACTGGGATCACTCCAGCTGGGCTATCTCAGGACTTTAAGGAGAATCGATTCGAACAGCATTCTACGACATTCAAGACGAAATGAGAATTCTCAAGCAGCCACAACGCGTAAAGGTTGGAAGATCTTCGTCGATAGTGGATGCGAGGAAACGAGTCGAGTGTGATAAGTGCTGGGATCGGCACAGTAGACGTGAAGACGGGTCACATAAAAAAAGATGTGGACACCAAACCATCTGTCGTTTCACCAATAGTTTCTAGCCACGCAGAAAATCATCGAAGTTGTAACTGATCGCTTGGAATGCTTAGTTCTACCACTAGGAAAACTCATGAACTGGTACGACAGAGAAAGTTGTAGAGTCGGTTGAAGATTAGTTGATGTTTTAATTTTTTTAGATTAGTTGGAGTCCTGCCATTTTCCCATCAGTAGTCCTTATTGGTTGCAAGAATATGAATACCGTATCGCAGCGAAGTTGGCTGTTCGATCAATGACAGTAATTCCCCCATCATTAGAGCATTCTAGAACTTCACAACTTTACATATTTTTAGAAAAGACTTTGCTCTGTTGCATGAAGCGCTTTCTTAATTTCCATACATTGTCCTTTCAAATTCAAATATCTATAGAATTGAAATCCCAAGAAGTTGAGAGTGAAATTTAAAGGTTTCGAAATTTCCAACGGAAGAGTGGCAGCTGCAAATATAGACGACATTGGAGGAGACCATTTTTTACGTTGGCTGCAATCCTGCTTTACTCCTTTCGGATCCGAGTTGACGCAAAGAGCATAGCTTTCCTCCTCTAGGAAATGATTTGTAGATTCCAATAGTTTTCATTACAATTAATAAAATTTACTATGAATTGGGATATTTAGATTTAATGTAGGGAGGCGTCATTGTTTTCGCATCATATAACTCCTAAAGAAATTACATCGTCGCGTAAGTGTGGATAGCATTCCATACCAAGAAAAAAAAAAGCCTAAATTTTCAACGTATTAGAGGAATGGCGATGCATTCGAAGCTTGCAACAACCACATCCGATTCCGATCCAGAAGACTCTTTCAATGACGTTGTCCACCTAGATGACTCTTGGTTCTACGGCCCACCAAGAAAGAAGCAAGTGTTGAACTGTACGACTAAGGAAAACTTGATACCATCAACTCTGGTTGCTACCTTCATTCTTCAGTATTCTGGATTTCTGAGAAAATTTCTGAGTTGCAATGTAATTTAGGTCAATCCAAAACGACCTTCGCTAGTTGAAAAAAGTTTTGGAGAGATGGAAACGTTTTCCAAGCAACGCTCGGCTATTGGAAAACTTGAAGAATCTGTAAAAGTTTTCAAAAATTCTCGAATATTTAGCTTTGAGAAGCCGGAACAAACAAGTCGGTTTGAATTTTTAGATATTGTCACTTATATGACTACCCTTTCGTACAAATTTGGCAGTGATTTCTACTTGAAGATTTGAGCTACAAAATTCACTTTCTATCAGTCCTCAATCAGCTGTTTTATAACAGATGATCTTCTTAGTCTTGCTATCTTTGTGAGATCAGTCTTTAAGCCTAATTCTGTCCAGTACTGCCATTAAATTCTTGAATTAGCATTGCTCATTTCAGATGGTGAGCGACGTTATCTTGTGAGTACTCTGGAGCGCTTTTGGTCTTGGTATGAAACCCTAAAAGATCGTCACTTTTATGAGCTTATTACCGAATCGTCACCATGTCGCCTTTACTTTGACCTCGAATACTCTAAAGCTACTAATGCCAACATTGATCATGAGGTACGTGAGTAAATATGAACCAATGTGTTGGGAAGCGGTTAATTTTGGATGTGTCTTACAAAGCTCATTTCGACAAGCACACGGCAAACAAGAACCTAAAACTACGCAAAAATTTTTAATCGCGGCTGTGTCCTAAAAGCAATTCGGCTTGTCAGATCGCTTTTCTAGCCGTAGGTCGACTGCAGCGGAATTCCGCCCTCACAGAATCCGTTCTTCCGTTCTGGAAGAAGTGGATCTCAAGGCGGCAAACTTCCCTCTGATACGTGAAAATTCGCAATTGCCGGTGGTGACGGCCTGAAAACAACGTAGCACGGTTGTTTCGGGTCCTAATCAAAATCACACTCGACCAACATTCAACATATCAAGGGGAAGATAAGGAGACATCTCATGAGGTCATGGTCGCACCCGAACTCGCTTACCTCAGTGGAAGACGGTTGCAATGCAGTGGGATGAAAGTAAATGCTGGGATTGAATAGAATGTGAAGGCAGATCATCTAAGTCTACGTCCTAAAGATGTCTGAACTCCGCGTTGGTCACTTGTTAACAGTTGGCTGTAACTTATTTGCACAAATATTTCGAAGGAATGTGGTTACTATCGGATTTACTTTTAATTTCCACTGCAGTATTTCTAATCTAGCTAAGTGCTTTCGCCTAATCCAAATATTACTGGAATAGAACAGATTCCTTGTGCTGACCTTAAGAGGTTGTTCGTTAGATGGACTGGAATCGTTTTCAGAAGAACAGAATTCAAATTTTGATTGTTAGTTTGCATGAAGACAAACCACAGAGATTAGGGTTACAGAGGCAAATGAAGTAGAATTAACTGCGCGTTTAGTAACACCTCGCGTTTGCTCAACAAAAATACGAAGAAAATCACTTGATCAATGCCGAGGTTAATAGAAAGTCGGTCGTGGCAGAATTAACTGCATTCCTCACTGTGTGGCTTCATAAAATGTTATAAGCAGGTGCTAGCACGTCACTTTTTTAGGCGGCTTATAACTACTTCATGAACACGGTGCGACGTTTGTTACATGATGAATTTGACATCGAAGCGGAACCAGCGAAGGTTAATTTATTGGCCTGGAGATCTACTTCGCATTTGAGGCTCGTTTCGAAAATGTCGATTTTTGTAGGATTTTCTCGTACTCGACAGCTCAACGGAGAGTAAATTTTCTGCTCATGTCATCTGTCATCTACCTAATGGATACCTCTTTCCATCTAATGCACGTTCTTGTTTTCATTGTGGACTTTTTTTTGTCAGAACTATTGCCACCCTTTCGACGTTTCACATTCTATGACGTTCCAGTTACATATCCGCCCATTTTGTACACGACTTACAGAAATCCTGTCAGAAAATTCTCCCGTAAAGATTTGGAATTCTGATGGTACTAAGATGCGTATTCGTTAGTTTATCGCTACTAGTCTTACCCATCGTCCATTAAGCGTCCTGTTTTAGGAAACTGTTTTGTTCGACAACTCAGTGTACACCAAAAACAGGAACTTTCGTTTGTTTTTATCATCTAAACTTGGTAAGAACACAATATTCAAGGTGGCGGAATACTGTACGTTCTACGGTAAGTTTGTTTCAAATAAAATATCAAAAATTTTCAGCGATATGAGTTTTTGTTCGAGGAGAATCAGTCGTATTACTTAGGTTCTAAAAAGCCGTCTGATCGACAAGTGTTCTACGATTCGATTTGCATTCCTGCGAATGCGTCCGAATTTCCGTTACTAGGAATGAAAGATATCATTGGAAACGAATTGCAGAGGTTTCATGGTATTCAGTGTAGGGAATTCAACTTGTATTTAACTCTTTACCATGTGAGAAATCTTTGTTTAGATCCTGCAAAATACTCTTCGGTTAAACTAAGGGAAGGCTCTGGACCATCTCCTTATATCCAACTCGATGAATTTATGCTTATGCTGTGGAAGAAATGGAATCCCTCCGCTTATATTAGACAGTGGAAAGTGGTGAACGATAGTAGTGAAGAGCGAGTTGCAGCTATAATATACTATGTATGTGTTTTATAAATTAAGAGTCCATTTCTTAGTTATTCAAGTTCAAACGTGGTTATCAAAGTCATCATACTATTATGATTTACTACTCCTTTCGATGTTATCCTGGAATTCGTAAATTGTATATATATATATATATATATATATATATATATATATATACATGTATATATATATACGTATATATATGTATACATATATATGTACCTATAAATTGTTATATACATATATGTATATATATATGTGCATATACGTTTTGCATAGCCCGTCTACATGTCTGCTGTGTGTATCCCAGCACTTCTCATATTCCATTTATTTCCGCGCATCCACCATCTACGGCGGTCTCGCGTGTTAGTTGAGCTGCTGTTTGATGATAGTCGTCTTCTTCATGAATGTCTTTGAAGAGTGTTGGAGTCGATTCTTCCTGAAGTCCTGGTGTAGCTAGGCTGGAGCGCTCCCTTTTGAATTACTTGAAGTGAGATGTTCTCAGACAAGTTTGCTACCAATTTCTGGGCTCCGAAAAGATTACGGAGGTGGTGAGACCACCGCGGGGTCGAACCAGAGCCATGCTTATAATGAACCACTGCCACTGCACTATCTGCCTTTTTTTATAATGTAGTCGTCTAAAAAGACTCGTTAGATGAGCTGCCTTCAAATATTAACCGGGTTCCAGAGTTCCCATTACCGTTTTCCTACTTGTTTGCGGTAAAAATACTTATGTTCCTGACTCACGCTCACAGTGAAGCAATTCTCTTCGAAGGATTGATCTGTAAATTTCCATCTGATGTCGAACATAATTCGGTTTATTATTTCCGTTGAAGAATGCCCATGGTATTGGACGTTTGCAACATGTTCACTGGAACTTTAAGACAGGAGAAGGAAGGAAAAGTTCGATTAAATGGAAGAGTTCTTTGCGATGCAAACCCGCAGTTTCGTTGTCGGGTTGACTCTTCCTCGACATCGTTATCAAAATTTAGTCTAGAGCTTTAAGTATGCTCAGAGTCTGGTTTAGTGAATTGATCTGTACTAAACAACCTCACCAGGCAACTCTCTTTTACGCAGAACGGTTGTTGACTGATTTCGACTAGTGATGATTTCGTTTCATGTGGACAATCCATCCTACAGCAGGCGGTATTAGAATAGCTTGCACAGAGGCTTAATAGTACTGTACTAAATCGACTTTCACATAACCTTGGTGTTAATGATTCCTCGGCTCTGTTGAAGACGACGACGTCGAAATGTTAGCCGAATAAAATTTGTATAACAACCTCCTGTAAACTGAACAATCCAATGAAATTTATTCATCGATTAATACTTGTTTTCTTCCAAACAACGCTCACTTCGTTAACCATTTAACCTTCTGGTCGGTTTTCAGTTTAGCCCTGTCCTGTTCCTGTTGAAATTTCTTGGTGATCTTCTCGGTTTCCTTGTCGTGTTCGATTGTACGACATCGACAAGGTGAACGTGCATGTGGCGTACAACTCCAAGGATACTAATGTATGAGCAAAGCTCGGAACCTCGGGTGGACTTCAAACTCGAGATAGTCGAAAAGACAAACGCTTACCAGGGCTCACGTGTTATATACCACACCAACCGAGACCCTTGCGTTGACTCTCTCTCTCAGTCATTTTTTTTACTCTATACATGCTATCAGCAATCATCTATCAACGGGAATGATAATACGTTGTGGTTTCCACTGCAGTTTCAGTTTTATTGTGTTCAATACCGTTTTGTGCTCCCAGATCATTCATGTATCTGAGTGATTACTGAGAAAGAACCAAAGCAAAGGCCTAGGTTGGTGTGGGGTACCATAGTACACAAACCTGGAAAAGGTAATCGTGAGTGCGAAGCTCAACTTAGTTTCCGAGTTTTGCTCATATCTCTATTTTTCCGTTATTAACAAAGACAAGACAAGAATCACGTTAAATTAGGGGTATATTTATGTAAATTGAGACCTTATATTTGTGCTTAATAGATTGCAGTTGAGAGTTACGGATGAGTTTCGTGAAGAAGAGGTTAGATGCGCTCAAGAAGTCGGTCAAATGGCAAATTTTAAAGGCGTTTTAACAATTTCTATAGTTCTATTTTTAGAATATGGGGTTGGTGATGAGAATAGACAATGTGAATAAGTATCGATAAACCATCCCATTATGTCAACAACTAGTGTAAAGGCGAATCTAAAACTATAGTGTTTTACATGTGGAGTTACATACGAGAACAGAATTAGATATTATTCTCTTAGCCTGCAAATTGTCGTTACTGTTTCAATATTGGTCGGGAGCACAAAAGTAATGGCACATTTTGGACAGTGAACTTGAGCAGGTAAGTGAATGCTTGATGATAAGTGGAAGTGGAACGGAAGAGGTGAATGGAAGCGAGGAGTGTGACCATTGAAGATCTTTCTAAAAACTTTATAACTCATGTCTTTTCAATATTTTTTATAACAGCTATTTCACATCTCCACCGATTCTACATATTAAGTTGTTTACCGCCTCAAGACAACGCCCGACGACATGCATTGAATGCAATCCATTGAGTATGGAAATTATGACCACTTCGAACATTAGTCAACATGTCTAAACTCACCTTGAATTTTATTCATTGATCCCAGGATCGACTTTCTCTTGACCTCGGCATTGGAATATGAATGTGTCCTTTTCTTGTTCAGCAATCGCGAGGTTTTTAAACAGCAAACATTTACTTCCATAAAAAACACAATACAATACAACACTAGTTGACGTTTCGGCAGTATCGCCTTTAGAACCGCTTTTTACGTGACTTCCAATGAGGAAGTTTAGAACAGCTGACTATAGTCGCATATGGTTGTTGACTGGCAGTCACGTAAAAAGCGGCTCTGAAGAAGGCGATACTGCCGAAACGTCAGCTAGAGTTGTATTGTATTGTGTTTCTCTATGGAAGTAAATGTATGCTGTTTAAAAACCTCGCCATTGCTGAACAACAAAATGACGCATTTATTCATTGAAATAAAAACCATTACACTGTATAGACTTTATCAACGAGATTCGAATTTTCTTATTCTACCATGATGAGGTTTTCAGTAGCAAACAAAGTGTTTTCTCCCCTTTCCTTTTTAACCTCAAGGGTGCCATTTCGAGCGCGAAAGCGAAATGATTTCTCATAATGTGTCGTATATGATTGTAACTGCTGGAGTTTCGTTAGAACTTTTTAAAATTTGACTTTTTTATCCAATTTTCTTGAGGGATTTAGTTCTGCAAACATTTGGAATTAAAAGAATACTTTATGAAATATGCGACCAAGGGGGTGGAGGAGAGTCTGTTCTACATATCTTTGAAGTTCTGAGTTCCTCAAGTACTGAAACGTTGAAGAAAGTATCGAAAGTTGTCGAAAAGCTGGCTTTGAATGTGATGTGTTAACATGTGAACGCTTCTCTTCGAGTTCATCTACTTCGTTCTTGTTTTGTTTCTCACGGTTACTGATTGTTTATATTTTAGGAACGATTTCAACCAAAGATGCTTTGATCCAGAGTGTCGTGGTACCTCATCCAACTTCTTTCCCCTTCCATCGTTTATTGTTAATTTCTTGCATGAAAAAGAAAACAAAGGTAAGAAAATGATTAAACAACTGGTTAGAATAGAAAACATTGGTTGACGATGAAAATTACAAGAACATCCCAAAGTCTTTTCCTTGGAATGTTATTTATTAAATGCATTTTTCCCAAGAAATAGTTTTGTTGTGTCAGCATTAATAATGTGCCACAAGCAATAGCTACTACTAGGATTCTTTGCATTGGAAACATCGGTCAGTTTTTGGAATACGGTAAGGTTGTAGATTTTACTCACTGAGGTGTTCTTCAGTCGAAACTGTTAGTTAGCGTATTTGTCAAACGTGGACGACAGCATGTTTTGAGTAAATTAAGTCATACATCTGTTATTCAACGAGCGGTTGTTCTCTGGGATACCATAAAAAATTTGAAAGGCCCGAATTTGCTAGAAGAAGATCGCCTTTTCCACATGCTGGTTTTCTAATTCCATTTGGACTAAAAGTGCCTTTTAGTTAGCTAATAATTCTAACCAGTGTTCTATCGCTTTTTATTGTCGAGTAGCTCTTTAACTATAACTGATCCAACGACCCCTTTAGGTGCTCGTGTAGAAGGAGAACGAAACCATGATACATCGTTTTTTGATGGAGATGACGTAGCGTCACTTTTCGATGAGAGTCACAATGAACTGAACAAGTGGTTCATTCAATGGGAAGATGTTTTGGAACAATAAACATTACTAAGACAGTAATAATATGTATGCATCCAGATCTCAACAGGTGATTGCCAGTAGTCGATTAAGATAGTAATCTCTATAAGCTATATTAGAAACTAGGCAGCGATATTCCCGTGTAATCTTGCAGATGGTCGAATATACAATAAATTTGACCCATTGACGACAATAAGGCTCACATATGATAAGGCTTTCAGCTTTAAATGCACGTTTCTCAGCTCATAGTGCACTTTACTGAGGTCGTAACGGCTAGGCGCTGTCAGGGTAGAAATTATTCTGTCAATGTGTTCTGACACATTTCTGAAACCGACGAGTCCTTCTTTCCATATGTCGTCATCGCTTCTGATATCCAGAACTGCAGAGCAAATAAACGAGGGCGATTTCGTCAGCAAACGATGGTGTCGCCGATTGCATCATTGATTTCGATCACTGCTATGTAGTTTTTAAAAAACCACTAGAGAACTTTATAGACGATTTGCCTCGAAAAATTAGTAGTGAAAACGATGTAAACAAAAGAATAGTAACAATGTTTAGAATAGCTTATCTTTAAAGTATGATAGTGGTAGGACGAAATCTCTCTTATAAATTTGTCGGGCGTACAAGTTTTCAAGTACTTTGGTAATCGAGGGATTATTCTCAGTAATCGGAAGACCCGCGTTGTCGTCAACGTATGTCAACGTGACTTTACAGTATCTATACCTCTGGCTTCAGGGTTTTAGATGTTTTCGTAATGCCATTAGATCTTTTCGTATTGCTAGAAGACAAGCTGATTTCCAAGTTAATTTGATCTGAAAATATGTTATTAAGTCAACCGAGTGCTCTTCGTCTATTTTTATCTCGCTGGGAAGTGGGTAAAAACGATTTAGTCAATGTGAACCTCTACTCTAACATATTATAGCTTGCCGATCTGCTTGGTTTAGCAGACATCCCAAGTTATTCCCGTCTGCTGACCAACAAGAGATAATGCGTAATGATCAATTATGCTTATGAAGGACATTATATGTTTACCTGTTTCTAGGGTTCTCATTTACTTTAGCGCTAGGAGAATTTGAAAGTCAATCTACGGTGAAGGCTCGCTTTTACGCCACAGAATCGTTACTTTTAGCAATTCCTAACTTTTAATTAAAAGATAGCAATCCTCCAAATTAAAAGAAAAGCCTCCATTTTTGCTTCTACGTGGTTGACTCACGTTTGCTTGTAGGACAACTTTGTTCTCGAAAAAATTGAAGCGTCGTGACTATAGATGGCCTTGCACGCCTGACTGCGCCCAAGGCTGACGAAGCCCTCTATGGACCACACGTCTGCAAATTGGCGCCAGACTTATTCGGGAGGACAAAAACACTGACGTGATACAACCACAACGTTGCTGAGATATTTGCAAAACTCTGGACCGCAGGTGTCTATGGTGGGGAACGAACGCGCTATTATCCTTTCCGGGGAGTAACGCGTTCACCACCACACCATGCGGGTCCTACAGCCATAGCTTAACTGGGTTCTATGCCGATTTGCGCTCCCCAGATCAACCCCGCTGACGGGTGATTGCTGTGGCAAAAAGATCGATAGAAATAGCTGAGAGACGTGCGAAACAAAGGACCCGCATGGTGTGGTGGTGNTATGGACCACACGTCTGCAAATTGGCGCCAGACTTATTCGGGAGGACAAAAACACTGACGTGATACAACCACAACGTTGCTGAGATATTTGCAAAACTCTGGACCGCAGGTGTCTATGGTGGGGAACGAACGCGCTATTATCCTTTCCGGGGAGTAACGCGTTCACCACCACACCATGCGGGTCCTACAGCCATAGCTTAACTGGGTTCTATGCCGATTTGCGCTCCCCAGATCAACCCCGCTGACGGGTGATTGCTGTGGCAAAAAGATCGATAGAAATAGCTGAGAGACGTGCGAAACAAAGGACCCGCATGGTGTGGTGGTGAACGCGTTACTCCCCGGAAAGGATAATAGCGCGTTCGTTCCCCACCATAGACACCTGCGGTCCAGAGTTTTGCAAATATCTCAGCAACGTTGTGGTTGTATTTCGCTTAGTAACCTGCCATGAAAATTATAGAAGGCAGAAAACAAAACGTTAAATACTGACGTGATACATCGACAGGCCATCACAAGTCATCGCATAGGAAAATACGCATTCAAACACCTATACAAAGGTTAATTGGGTAGAAATCATTGTGCATTCTTCAAGGATTGGCCAACACCAAAAGCTCCATCCTTTATCCTAAACTGTTATAGTATAAGACAGATTAGTTCCTTTTGCTAAATGCTTCCCTTTCCAGCACAACTGGCAAGAACTGAAGACGTGTGAAAGGAATCCGGGTAGTGATACCAGCTGGTATAAGTCGCGCAAGAGCGCATTTTTCTCAAAGAATTTTATTCACCTTAGCATCATTACTTCGAGAGTGCAATCAATATCAGACTAACATGTATTAAATTTCTCGTTAGTCGGAGGGCACGAATAAAGCGAAGGATTAATAAAGAGTAAGAGTAAAGGTTTCGCTATCAAGCAAACCTCTCAAGGATACGCCTTGTGTTCGTCTTCATTAAGGCTCTCTACAGGTAATTGAATGCATATCTAGCTTATACAATGAATTACGGTGGTAACGATATATCAGATCAATGTTAGTACTGTCCCAGACAAGTCTAGTACCAATTTGTCGATTCTGGAGAGATAAAAGCTTAGTGTTCCGTGACGAGGAACTGACGCAAACGTGTATATTGCGGGTCACCTCTAACCATTTCGCTGCACTCTGTTATGAAGCACAAAAATACACTTTAAAATTCTAAAGCAAAGAATGAAAACTTCATTTCGTAATGTCATGTGGTTACATAAGCAACTTGTATATTGCGTGAAGAGCTTCGAAATCACGACATTTGGGAACTTACACCTTGAGAACAATGAGGATGCCGACAGCATTAGTCCTTCACACCACTACATCAGCGTTCATGCACCCACATGATTGCCACACGGAAATTACAAACGAAGTTGAGGTTCTAAGTTCTGCTCGTGTCTCAGAATCCCTATAGTTGTACTTCACATCATACTTTGCCATTAAGAA